CTATGCTTGCCGGCTGCCAGTCTTGGACATCCGCCGGCGAATTGTCTTCTGCTTCAAGTGCCAAGACTACCTACACTCGCCACATCAGTATGCCCTATCGGCGGCCATCCAGCAGCCACTGTCTCCGGCGGCGCGGTCAGCCCTGCAAATCCTTTGCAAGATCGAGAAGGCCATCTTCATGGCTGACCAGTTGGTCCGGCGCCAGGGGCTGGATCTCTGTGCGTCCATCCCCCGCTCGATCGAGAGGGTGATCCAGCTTTTGCCAGTAACGCGTGGTTGTTGTTGACACTCGAGCGCGCAGCCTGTCGCGCATCCCCTCCTGCCGGCATGTCGACTGCACTGCCGGCCAAGCCCCCGGCCTCGGAGTTGCTTCTCCTGTCGCGATATGTCCGGCCATTGGGGCTGCTGCCGGTTTGCTCGACCGGGACCCGGCGCGCGGGTGTGAATCGCGGCCGATCGACCGCCGGCCCCCCTTCACAGCTTCGAGTGGTGCTGCCACGGCCGTCCGCCGGAAAGGCCGAATCCGGTGGCGGTGGCGGTGGTGGTAGCGGTGGCGGTGCCACCAGCGGCGGTCGGGTGTTTGTCTCGACCCAGGCCGCCCCGTATGGGGTATACCCCCCGCGGCCGCGTGGGCTGAAGAACCACGGGGCTACGTGCTATCTGAATTCGGTCCTCCAGGCGGCGGTCATTCACAATCCAGTCATCCGGGAGTTTTTCCTTCAAGATCGACACTCCTGCGGGTTTCGCCGGGACCGCGCCCCCGGCCGCCCGGCCGACCTGTCCCAACTCACTCGGGTCAAGGGGTTGCCACCGCCCACGGTGGAAGACCAGCGCCAGTGTGCGGCCTGTGCGTTGGATTGGCTGATCTCACGGGCACATGCGCCGGTTCCCCAGGTGGAGTGTTTTGTGTCGGCGTCCGACATGGCCGCCGGGCGGGGCGGCTTGGGCGCCGCGGCGGCCGCCATCGGGGGGACGTCCTCCTCCGGCGGCGGCGGCACCAGTGGCGGTGGCGGCCCGAGTGCGGCGCACCCTGGGACCGGGCCCGGCCCGGCCGGTGAGCGTCTTCTCCCTTCGGGCATCGAGTTAAACACCCTCACTTCGCAGCTTCGGCTGAGTTCGGCCTCTGGCGGCGGGGGCGATGACACCAGTCGTGTGTTTGCGCTCGACCCGTCCCTGCCGAAGATCGAGTCCCCTCCTGGGGTTTCCATCAAGCGGGAGCAATCTTCGCCGGCTGGTGGTCCGGACTTTCCGCATCCCCAACGTCCGCGCCCGGCTGAGGGGCTCACCTCGCCGTTGACGCTACCGAGAAACCTGACCGTGTCGCCGGCCTCTTCGGCTTTGTCCACCAATTCGCTGGTCTATGTTTTGTGGAAGGCGGCCCCGGCGTTGGCCGGGCACTCGCAGCGCGATGCTCACGAGGCATTCCTGTCTCTCGTGGCCGCGGCGCACCGGCACTGCCCGGGATCCTGTATGTAATCTGGTCATCCTCCTCCTGGGGTGGGCCCACACCTGCCTGTTGTGTGTGTGTGTGTGTGTGTGTGTGTGTGTGTGTGTGGGACTGCCAAGCGCTGTTTGTGCCCCGATTGACTTACATCCGGCCCTTGTTTGTGTGTGTGTGTATGTGTGTGTGTGTGTGTGTGTGCGCGCGCGCGCGGATGTGCATGCGCATGCGCACCTGCACACGCCCGCATTCGTGTCTGTCTCCCCGGCCGACGGTGCCTCTGCGCCGGATCACCGATCACAGCGGTGTCCTTCCAGCTGACTCCCTCGCAGTGCAATTGCGGCCTCTACCAGTCCTTCAGTGGCATTACCAGCTCCAAGATTACATGTCTTTCATGTGGATCGTCCTCGACAAGTGCGCATGCCTGCCGTCCTCGCCGGGGTTGCCTGCTCATTCCCGGTTCTAACACCCCTCATCATGTCCATCCTGTTCATCATCACCCAGCTCTGGAGCCCTTCCTTGACATCAGCGTCGATTTGGCGTCCCCCTCCAGTCCCTCCGGGCATCCCTCCAACGGGGGTTCCCCTCGGTCAGAGCCTTTCCTGTCCCTGGAGGACTGTCTCAGGGCATACACCGAGCCGGAGGCGCTCGGCCGACCGCGGTGTGGGCACTGTCCAGAACCCTCCACTCGGACGGGCAGCCGCACAGCCGATGACACCATCCACGGGGGTGGCAGTCTCGGTGCCACCAAGCGCCTCTCCATTCAGACCCTTCCCCAGGTGCTGGCCATCCACCTGAAGGTACACAATGTGGATACCCTGTGGGGGCGTGCCTGGTTGTGTGTCCTCTCACCTTCTCATGCTGACCGTCATCCTGGCCCCTTTGCCGGCCCCCTCTCTCTCTCTCTCTCTCTCTCTCTCTCTCCCCCCCCCCCCCCCCCCCCCCCCCCCCCCCCCCCCCCCCCCCCCCCCCCCCCCCCCCCTGCACAGCGCTTCTCGCATCCGGCGCTGCAGCAATTTTCGGCACCCACCAAAGCAGCCAATAAGGTGGCCAACCACTCTGGCAGCGCAAGCTCCTCCCTGGCCCAGGCCGGCGATGGCATGCACTCTGCCCCCGCTGGGCATTCCCCCTCGTCGGCCTCCTCATCGGCGCCGAGTTCGACTTCCTCATCGGCAGTCACGTCGGCTTCCTCATCGACGGCCTCATTGCACTCGACGGCCAGCGGATCGCCCGGGACCCACCTGGGGGCCTCGGCCAGTTCCCTTTTCCACGCAGCCAGCATTTCCGGCGGGGGCTCCCCTTCGGATGCATCGTCGGCCCTGTCGATGCTTGGCCAGTCCATCTCATCGGCCTTCTCGGCGCAGGGAGTCTTTCCACTGCCGAGCTCCGACGGCACCCCCCGCAGGGATTGGCCCACGCATGCCAGCCGGCCGTTGGAGGTGTTGCAGGGGATCCCGAAGCAGGAGCTGACGGTCAAGTTCCCCCTGGAGCTCGATACGTCGCCATACCTCGACGAGTCGGCCTTTGTCGGTTGCCCGGGCAGCCGGTACGTGGCCTTCTGGCCGTGGGTTTCCTCCTCCCCCTCCCCCCCTGTTGTGTGCTTGCATTCCCACTGACTCTCTGTTTGCCCTCACTCGGTCGGATGGACATAGGCTGCCGCTTGACCTACGGTCCGAGTCGCTGTATGTTTTGACCGGGGTTGTTGTACATAGCGGGACCTCTGAGAACGGGCATTATGTCTCCTTCTTCCCCTACAGAGGAAAGGTATGCTCCCTCGCGCTGTGCGACGTGTGATCCGTCGGGAAGCCTTCTTCCGTCGCTGACCTCCCCCCCCCCTCCCCCCATGCCTGCGTGGATGCGCTAGTGGTACAAGGCCAGCGATGTCGATATCGAGCAGGCCTCCATCCAAGAGGTCCTCGCCGCCAAGGCATACATGCTTTTCTACACCAAAAAGTCCCTCATGTAGGGCGTTGGACTCCCCCTCTGCCCCCACCTTCCTCGGCCCCCTTGGGCTGGAATAAAAGCGTAAGGCATTTTCTTTTCTACACACCCCGCCATGTGCCGTACATCTCATCAGGCGAGGGGAGCGTGTCAGAGGAGAAGGCGGATTGTGTCTTTCTGTCCCCGCAATCTCTCACTGTCTTTTTTTCCATACACGGAAGGGCGATATATTCTCAAGGACAAGACGAAGGAGTGGAAGGGGAGGAGTCATGTGTGTCTGACTTGCTCCCTCAATTCCCATGCAAATGGACTACTGGGCCAGGGGGACTGGGTGCCTCAGCAGCCGCAGGCATCCGAGTCCTCGTCGGCCTGCTCGGTGATGTTGACTACATGCGTGAAAGGGGGGAGTCCGGGGGAGGGGAGACGAAAGTTAATCACTCGCCGGGCGGAGGCCGACAGGCTGGGCGCAAGGTATGTGGATAGGCGCCACATACCTGTGGTGTTGTTCGCAGCCTGAGCCGGCAGAGGGGCCTGTTCCTGTTCGACATCTGCTGTCTGTGCGCCACCGGCCGGCTGGCTGACGGCATTGTAGATGGACACAATCAGCTGGTGAAAAGTGAGGTTGATACCAACTCCGGTGCAAGCGCTGGTTTCATGGAAGAGAAGCCCATGGGCCTTGGCGAAGTCCGACCCACTCTGCGTCGGGACCTGGAGACGTTGGGGAGGGGGGGGGGGAGGGGGGAGATGAAGGGTGAGATGAGGCGTGTGCAAGTCGGCGGGGCCGTCCCACTCCTGGCACAGGATGGGGCATGCATGCGTCCCAAGATGTACCTTGCGATTGGCCTCAAGATCGATCTTATTCCCGACCAGACAAACCACCGTCGCGGGATGGGCATGGGAGCGAAGTAAGGACAGCCACCGGGGAACGCTGTTGAAGGACTCGACCGAGGTGATGTCATAGACGATCAGGGCTCCACTGAGTGGCAAAAACGTCAGGTGTCTGGGGCTTGTGACTGGGGGAGGGGGGATGGGGGGGGGGGGGGGGGGCAAATGGCAGGAGGAGCGGCAGAAGGACGCACACGGCGCCGCGGAAGTAGTTACGCGTCAGGGCGGTGAAGCGCTCCTGACCGGCTGGGAGGAGAGCGGGGAGGGGAGAGGGGGGATTGCGGTCAGACGATGGGAGAGAATGGCAGGCCCGAGGGAGGCGATGCGCGAGCAAAAGCCACACACCTGTGTCCCAGATGTGCACAGTCAGGCGTTTGCCTTCATGAAGGATGACCTGCATCGGTGGTGGGGTGGTTAGTATGGTGTTGGATGACCGCGAAGCGGGAGGCCCATCTAACGAGCAGGCGAGGGCACCTTTGTGGAGAACTCGATGGCCAGTGTGGCCTTGGAGCTTGGGTTAAACTCATCGCGGGAAAACCGGCCGAGGATATTCGACTGCCAGCCGAGGGGACACCGAGGCAAGGGGCATTGGGTTAGATGTGGCGGCGAGACAGACCGTGCGTCTGAACCGATGGCGCAGTGCATGTGTGTGTGTGTGTGTGTGCGCGCGCGCGCGCATGCAAGCATCTCCTTCTCCGCTCGCCATTCTCGCTGTCACTTTCTCTCGATCTATAAGTTTGGGTGTGTTTGCATGTACCTTGCCCACATCCGAGTCCCCGCAGAGAATCACTGGGAGGAAGAATCCCAGCGGAGCAGGGAACGGTTGGTGGCCGGTGGGGGAGACGTTGGGGGAGCAGGGAAGGGATGATGATCGGTGAGGAGAGGAGCCACAAAAGAGCGGGAGGCATTCACCACAAAACACACCTTTAAACTGGTAGTCATGCGCCACAAAGCCCGAAGACATCATGATCTCTCAACGAAGGCTGGCGTGTGCTCGTCTGCAAAGGTGATCAGGGCAGGAGGGCAGAATGTCAGTGGCGGGGGGATAGATAGGGGAGATGCAGCAGGCGCAGGGGAATGGCGCCGGAAGAGCAAGGAGGCGCATATACTTACCAGGGGACGATCGTCTGAGAGAATACGCGGATAGAAGGGGATGGGGCGGGGGGGAGGAGGAGAAACGGGGGAGACAGGGGTGGCGGTGTGGAGGAAGGATTCAACGAGGAGGGAGGGTGGGACAATGAGAGGTGCTGTCTGCCAGGTGGGATTACTGCCGGCGGTCTGGCGGCCTTTCTTCTGGCGGATCCTCCAGCCAGGGGGGGGGGGGGGTGTCGGCACTGCCTCCCCCCAGCCCCTCCCGTGCGGGGCATTTCGTGGAGCGCCGGTGCTCGGAACATTCACCCACCGACGAAGAGGCCATCAGTCTCACTGCCAGGGAGCATGAGCTCCGATGGAATCTTCCGCCAAGGCGAGGGGGGAGGGGGAGCGCATATCGGGGCCGATCACATCGGAACTGCCTGCTGTTCCCCCCTGGGGCCCTGGGGTGCTGGTTTTCCTGTTGTCCGGGGTGCAATGACTCCGGGGGCGGCGGCGGCGGTGTTCGTACCCAAGGCAATGGGGGTCGAGGGGCGGGCGGGGGCCAGGGGGGGGGGCGGGGGGGCATGCCTGGCCGGGTCGCCGGGCCGCAGGGGGGAGAAAACAGGCCCAGGGCGCCGGGCGGGGCAGCAGTACTTCCCGTGCATGGATGCGTCGGGGTCCGACGAGACAGACGGCCAGTGTGCCCCCGGGGGGTCCCTCCTGCAGACCGTTGGACAGGGGGCGGCGGGGCGCGCGCGCGCGCGCGCGCGCGCCCACGCGCGCGGCCGGGGGGGAACGGGCGGGGGGCGCGGGGGGGGGGCCGGGGGGGGGGGGGGGGGGGGGGGGGGGGGGGGGGGGGGGTAGACTGCGGATGAAATGGCTCTGCATGTGCCCGAGCCCTGGCGAGCCCCCCCTACTCGCCGCCCCCTCCCCCCCCCCTTCCTGCGGGGCAGGGTGGGGCTCGGAGCGAACTTGGAGACTCCCAATGGCTGCCGGGGCGCGGCCAATTTCCCCCGGACACACAAGACGCCAGGCGTACGTGTCACGGCGCAAGATGGGCGGGAAAACCCCGGCCTTTCGTTGGAGGGCTCGCCGGAGGGAAAGGCACACGGGCACACCGGAACATAGGGCACACGCGCGGTCGAGTCGGGGGTGGGGGGGGGGGGGGGGGGGGGGGGGGGCGAATGGCCCAAACTCGCGCGTTCGCTCATCAGCCTCTCGTGAGAGACAGGCAGTCTCGACCGAGCGCCGTTACGCCCTGCCCCGGCGGGTTTCTCCCATCCGCCGAAATAGCCCCGAATTGGGAGCCTGGCCGACCTGGCCCTTCCGGGCTCCGGGCGTTTCTCCGCGTCACCCCTGGGGCTGTCCGAGCGTGCGTGACCCCCCCCCCCCCCCCCCGGCCGGGAAGGCGGTCCCCGTCCCCGCTGCGGGGTGCCGCCGGGCCTTGGGAGGGGCCGCCGGGACGGACGGGCCCTTGCGCCGGCAGTTCCCCTTGGTGTAGGGCGGATCTTTTTTCTCACAAATACAGGGGCGCCCATTCCTCTCGGATGAGGCTCTCTGTGAACTGCTCTGCACATTCCTCCGGATGTGAGATCTTCTTCCTCGGGCCACTGCTCCCAATTCACCTTCCTTCTTCCGGTCTTTCTTTGCCTCTCTCTGCCTCTCTCCATCTCTTCATCTCTCTCTCTCTCTCTCTCTCTCTCTCTCTCTCAGCTTCCCAGCTTCTCAGCTTCTCTCCCTCCCCCTCTCTCTCTGTCTATCGCATTGTCTATCCTAGCTCCTGTCTTTGCCTCGCGCTACCTCGCCCTGTGTCCCATGCCCTTCCAGAGAAAGAGAGCAGGATAAGACAAGACCCACATGGTCGAATATGCATGAACCCTGATGTTGCCATTGCTCGGTAGGGTGCCCCACCGGAGTGTATTCCTTGAATGTGTGTGCCGACAAAGGCCAGGACAGCTACCGACAAGCGTCAGACGACGCGGGCACTGTTTGAACAAGACGCCGGCGCAAGGCAGCAATGGCCTCGGCTGGCAGGCCGCAGTGCTCTCGAAGGTAGACCTCGGCTCCGCCGAGCTCAGCCAGCGGACCCGACACGAACATGGCCATGGCCTCCCAGCGGCTGCTACTGAGGGTGAACGCCTCGTGTGGCGAGAGCCCCGAAGACTCCAGCCCGCCATCGGGATTCGGGAGCAGGCGCTCAATGAACGGCCGACGATCTGACCAGGCGAGGGGCGATGTAGGACAGCCAAAGAGGCCGCCGCCGCGGCCACAGCAGGGCGTCGAGTGAGTGACATATTCCCGGCAGCATGCCTGCTGGCATCGGTGTAAAGAGGTATGTGCACATATATATATATATGTATATGTGGTGGGCATGTGCTGCAGGAGCAAGGCGCCAAAGAGGATGATCATGCACGCACCCAGGCACACCTCCGTGCGCTGATAGTCACGGCAAATGGCTGCCGGGGAGGCGCCAAGCAGATCCAGCAACAGAGCCGAGGCAACGCCCGTGCGATCCTTGCCCGCCGTGCAGTGGAAGACCACGGCATAGTGATCGGCCTCCTCCACTGGGAGACCCGCCCGGAGGAGGCCCTGGTCGATGTAGGCATCGGAGAAGGGTGGCCCAGCGAGGAGGGAGAACAACGCCCGAAAGGCAGCCACGCCATGGCTGAGAATGTCCATATAGCCTGAGGCCACAAAAGAGGCAGCGGCGGGGAGGGGGGGGGAACATTAGAAGGAAGGGGGAGGGTAAAAGAGGGGAAGGGGAGGGGGGGGGGCCAGTGCGGATGCATGGGTATGTGTGTCCCAGCATGGGGGCGCACCGGAAACCATGGAGTTCGTGCACTTGGAATGGGACGCCCAGCGCCGGGAGAAAGATTCAGTAGGATTGCGATCGATGCTCGGATCGGCGAAGACCGGCGCGTGGAAGTGCACAATGCCCCTGAGGAGACCGTGGCCACACCGTGTGTCGCATGTACCAAGGACAAAAGCAAGAGAGAGAGAGAGAGAGACAGGGCCGAACATGAGCAAAGACCCGGGGAACCAAGGACGCAGGGGGAGACAAAGACACGCACGTCCTGGCGAACAGAGGCCCGAGATGGGCATGGTCGCGATCGAATTCGTACTGACTACGGAGGTCCACAACAGCCCGGACGCGTAGAGCATCATGCAAGTGCTGCAGGGCCTCGGGGCGGACGTCCGAAAAGCCGGCCGCCCGGAAGACGCGGCCAAATGCAGACACCGTGGCCCGGCGGATGGGCGAGCAATGGATGGTGGGCTGCCGGGCAGACGGGTCGGCACCCGCCAGGGGGTACCCCCCGAGGTCGCGGAAGTTGTCGACCCCCGACCAGTGGACATGGAACTGGGCCTCATGCCGACTGAGTCCCGGCGGGGGTTCCGGCGTGTTGGACGCCAGCGTCACCGACAGGGTCGGCACTGGCGACCGGGAAGAGCGGCAGCTGTCCAGCGGGTGAGCGATGCTGGCACGCGCGGCACGCAAAGCCGGCGAAAGCCAGCCCAGGATCGTGCTGACAACCAGGGGATCTAAGGTGGCCGAGGGGGCAAGGCACAGGAAGGGAGTCAGTGCTGGAGCCGAGGCCGGGAGAATGGGCCAAACCAAGGGCGGAGGGGGGGGGGGGGGGGGGGGGGGGGGGGGGGGGGGGGGGGGGGGGGGGGGGGGGGGGGGGGGGGGGGGGGGGGGGGGGGGGGGGGGAGCAGCACAGGAGGGACGCCCCGGGCCTCGGTGCGTACCAAAGCCCCGGAAGAGGTGGTCCGCATCGGGGATCAGCCGGAGCGTGTGGACGCCCATCTTGGCCGGGTGGCCCCGAGCCAGCAGGGCATTGGTGTAGTGCATGGCCTCGGTGGGCAAGACCACCGTGTCTCCAAGCCCGTGCATGGTCAGCGTGTCGACCCCCGAGGGGATGGCCGAGACTGGGGAACAGACGCCCCGGCGGCGGCGGCGGCGGCGGCGGCGAGGGGGAGGCATGCGCCAGAGGGACCCCGGCGATGGGTGGTGAGGAGCGAGCAAGCGTATGGCGAGCGAGGGGGAAGCATCCAAAGGGGGCCCGACAAAGCCGGGAAAGCGCACCAGCACGCAAGTTGACATCGGTGGCGATCAAATCAATTTGGGAGGGGGAGACGATGACAGCCCCCTCGCCACGGATGCGTGAGCGATAGCGCCAGCCGAACCAGCCGCGCCCTTCGGGAGCCGGGCGCATCCGCGCAACCTCGGCTGCCGTGTGCTTGATGGTGATGTCCCGGTGGTTGAAGCGGCTCCCGAGTGACGCGACAAAGCGCAGCGAGTGCGGTGGCTTGCGTGCTGCCTGGCGCATGACACACACCCCGCCTGTCGGGTGGCGTCGAGGGATCGAGGGTTGCAACATGGCCGAGGCCAGGCAGGGTCAGAGAGGGAGAGGCGATGCATGGGAAAGGACAAGGGGTGTCCACAAACACACCTCGAGAGTGGCCAATCAAGCCGACAACGCGCCAGCCATGCCGCTCGGCCGCAGCGATCGCGGCCGAGATGTCAATAAAGTCGCCCTAAGAGAGTGGCAGAGGGGCATCGGAGAGGGGGCGAGGCCCGAATGGTGTCAGTTCCCGAAGGTGATCACTCTTCCCGGCGCAAAGGAGGGAGGCAGGGGATGAAGGCCGACCTCATAGTCTGAGTAGGATGGCAGGCCCGGACTGCGACCGTGTCCGCGAAGGTCGACGCGCAGGCTGGCCGTCGGGGCGGGCAGCAGACCTGTGAGCAGGTTTCCTGCACCCGCGCACAGCTGCTCGCGCAGCTCGTCCAGTTCCCTGTGAGGAGCGGTCAAAGCCTCGACCGAGGCGGACACCACCGCCTCGGCCAGGGGCCCGGAGTGGGTGCGGCCAAAGCCGGCCGGGTCGGCCAGGGCCTGCGACAGGAGGGGGAAAAACAAGTTGTCCCGGTGGCCTGGATGGCGTTTGGGCGGTCAGACAGGAGGGTGGCAGGCGCTCGGAAGGAGAAGGGTCTTGGGCTGCTCCTCCAGGGGGGGGGGGGGGGAGCAAGCACCCAACATACCGAGCACCCCGTGAACGATGACCACAAGGTCGCGCCCGTGGCCAGCCGGCCAGACATTTGGACTCTGGCCGATGGAGGCCACGATGTCCGTCAGGTAGGAGGAGGAGGAGGAGGATGAGGAGGGCGAAGCGGAGGGAGAAGGGTCACCGGTGCTCGGGATGCAGAGGGTGCACGCGAGCTCGTGTGTGGGGACCATGTTGTCGGAGGCGGTCCGCAAATGGTCCGGAATGGCAGTCAAGAGCGAGGCTCGACGAATGGCGGCCCGAACGAGCGTCGCATCCTCCGAGCTGTCGCCAGATTCAATGTCATCCAGCAGGGCCGCTTCCCCCTGGGGGAGCGACAGAAAGGACACCTCCCGAAGGGAGAGCACCGGCCGGTCGGTGGGAGTCCCACCCTCGCCGGCAGCAGCAGAGGGAGTGGCTTCATTCGAGGTAGCGAAGGCGTCGCGTTCAAATTGATCCAGTTCTTCGGCCGAGGCTCCCGGATACCGAGCAAAGAGAGGTCGCCGGCCCAGGAAGCGCGGGTCGCGCACTGGCACCGTGAGAACCACCTCGGAGCAGCTCGAGACCACCATGATTCAACAGGAGGAGAGAGAGAGAGAGAGAGAGAAGGAGAGGGCGGAGTAGAAGTAGATGGGAGGGGGGAAAGAGGGAGAGACAGAATATATGTGTGTGGGCGGAGGAGAGAGAGGGGGGGCGGGGGGGGGGGGGGGGGGGGGGAGCGAAGAACGGCCGTACACGTGTGAGGGGTCGGGCGTTTTGGGTGCAATCTGATGAGCCGGCTCGGTGCATGTGTGTGTGCCACCTCGGCCGAAGGCGTCGACTGCCCGAGGCTCTTCCTCCGGCCAGCCAGTTGTGACACAGGGGGCAGGGGGGGGGGGGGGGGCGACCGGAGAACGGGGACAAACACGCTCTCGCGTAAGCCCGCTCGGCCCCCGTCCCGCGCCCCCCGCCATCCATTTGGCCAACGATCGGGCCGATCACAACGATCCCGTGCCTGTGTGGTAAGTTTTTGTCAGATGACGCGCCCGGCGCTCCGCATCCGCCCGAGAATCCCCCGGTCGCCGGGCGACTTCCATTTGTGTGTGTGTGTGTGTGTCCCTGCCCTGGCCCCCCGCCCCCGTTCCCCCGTCCCCCCCCCCCTCCCCATTGGACTTTGCCCGGGCTTCCTGCTGGGTCCGTTCAAGCACCTTCCGGTGCGCATCCACACTTTCCGAGTATCCCTGCACACATCCACCCAGGACATGGAGGAGGAGCGAGCGGCTGGTTGTTTGCTTTCCCGCGAGGCTGACGTCGCCCCTCCGGGGCAGAGTGCCTCGGCCGGCCCGGGAGCGCGAAGAAAACACCCGCCGCTGTCCGGTACTAGTTGCCGGCAACACCTCCACCCATAGATCCCTTGCCTCCTCGTCACGCGCCGCCCCTCCCCCCCCTTCCCCCCTCCCTTCGAAAGTC